ACTGCAAATATCAGATGGTATATATCATGTAACCCAGTGGATTTGTATTTATTTTTCATATTCATAGAGAATGTTGGTGGATGTGATTCTCATCATGTGTATTCTGTCTGCAGATGAACAGCATGGTTGCAGTGCTGGGCCAGCCAGAGGACCACCTGCTCCGTGCTGGCAAGTACAGCCAGCAGTTCTTCATTGAAGAGGAGGCTGGAGCTACTTCATCATGGAGACTGATGGTAGAGCAGCCATGTTCCTCTTTGTTTAAGAATTGTATTTTATTTTGAAATCACACTGGCCTGTTCTCATCTTTCTGTCCTTTTGTTCCTTCAGACGGCAGAAGAATTTACTGTGGCAAACCACATGRGCCCAGAGAAACCCGACCTCTTTATCAATGGGCTGACCTCTCTAWAYGATYTGATTCATGTGAGTACTCTCCGATGTGTTGTACAAGTAAAGACGGACCTGAACCAGCTTTTTATCAGTACTCTCCGATGTGTTGTACAAGTAAAGACGGACCTGAACCAGCTTTTTATCTGTCATTTGGGAGCTGGATCATCTGACCTGAAACCTGTTTTGAAATCCAGATCCATCCAAAATCGGACGCCATTGAGATGGAAGACCGGAGGGCCTTTGTGTCACTCTTAGGAGCTTTGCTGCATCTTGATGGGGATGAGAGGATCTCTCCTCATCAAGCTCTGCAGCAGCCCTTCATTTCCATGAGCCACCTGAGACAGGACGTCAACAGCGGAGACTAGTAAGTGACTACATGTCGTTTCACACTTAAACTAAAAAAGACCTCAGGTTACATAGACTGATGGCTTTAATTAATTGACAGTGACTGATTTACTAAGTGATTGTTTTACCTCCTCCAGTCTGACCACCTCCAAAACTGCCATGAGGGTCAACCCAACTGAGGACAGGGTCGCCTGTGCAGCATCAGACTGCGGCWACTTTGAGACAGAACTCTCTGGCTCCATGGACACAGACTCATGGTGCTCTGATGAGGCTCAAGACTCCGCTAGTGCCCCCAGGTC